TTCGCTCGCAAAATCCGATTCCAACTGAAATTCTCATAAACTGGTAATCAGTCCAAAATGTGTGGATCTAACACCTGTTCTCTAAACTTTTGTATATTTTTTCATCGTTGAATTGGTGTAATTATAATACTTCAATTATTCGAATATCTTCGTGATGGAAGGATCATGATGGACATTCTGTCGCTTTTTTCTTTTCAAGAACACTTTTCAGACGGGTCTGATACCTTCAAACATGACCTCGGATGCTTGGGAGGCTCTGAATGATCTTTCGCGAATGAATGTGAGATTTGATTCCGTCAATGTGTGGTTCTGACAGTGATAGCGGAAATGGGGCCCCAAGTCCCAACCTTTCTTCGCAGTTACTCTTAAAGGAATCTTCCACGGACCATGGACCAGTGGGCGGGACCGGAAGTTTTTGTGACGAAATGCATGGTAGGTACGGATCCACGTGTCGAACGCACGAACGTGAACAGGATTCACTTCAAACCTTCCCATGAACGTGGATCCGTACCTACCATGCATTTCGTCGCAAAACCACTTCCGGTCCCGCCCACTGGTCCATGGTCCGTGGAAGATTCCTTTAAACTGGCGTAGGAATAGGGACCAGCGCTTATCGTTGAGGGATCTGTAACAAAGGAAAAGATCATGAACGGCTTTTGAAAGCATGTCATGTCTCAGAATACTTCAAAAGCGCACATTTTCAGGCAAATACCTTCACAGTTTCCAAAGCCATTGACGGAGCTTTCTTAGCTAACTCAGCTTTTAAACTTTTGCAGTACCATTCGGTCCCAAATTTCAGGTAATGAGATTGAGGTTAACAGAAATTGAAACCATTTCCCTGTGATGATACGTTTATCAGCATTTGCGTTCGGTGCTTTAACGATTTATTTATTCGCATAAACATTTTTCCAAATCTCTGCAAGACAAACAGAGCTATGAAATCGGTAAAAGATCGTCAAAGGAGAGAAGCTGCGAACCAGAAACACCCATGACCGTTTTCCGTAGAAATCTGGAATAGTACACACGTAATCAATGCGTGGGCTAAAAACGATGAAGCTATGTTGAATGATTTCCTTACCTATAATGCTTTCAGAGATGCCCGGTTTTTCACTTTCGAAGAGATTCATTAAAAAGATCGACAGATTAGCCGCTAAGAGAAAAGTGATTGCTTGTTTTCCAGGCTGGTTTTGCCTGGATGCTGTACCAACCTTCACTCTTGAGGCCAGATAGATCAGGAATGTCTGAGTTCCGACCTAAAAAATACATAAAGTGTCATGAAAGCTGTCATGGGAGCCAAATCGAGTGTGAAGAAGGTGAAAAATCTCCAGTTGCTACCTGTATCAATCTGAATATATGTACAAAGAATAGGAGAAACGCAGGGGTTGCCATTGGCCGTCTCCAGTGAGTCCAACAAGTCCTGCTACTGAGTAGATCAACTCACCGACTAGGCCCAACCACAAGAAGGATTCGATCCAAAGTTCCTGACACATGATATGGTGATATAATATGACACTTGTGCTTGCAACACAGGAAACTACAATGGAAAGAATGACACCATTCATTATGGAGTTAAAGGTAGCGGTCATGATAACACGAGGGCGGTGCGGCTTCGATGACGTCATAGAGCATCCTCTATGGAGTGGATCTCTCGGAGCGGAGAAGGGAGGGAGATAAACGTCTACCACCCAATGACACGTTATCAAAACACTAACCCTCCAAAAATCATGATTGCTTTCACAGTACTGATCCCAAAATCGGTTGCCAAAGACAGATTTTCCATAATTCCTGAAGCTCTTTCTACTTTTTCTCTGCACTGGGAGACAGACCTCAACTCAACCTCTTCCTATTAGCTACCATTTCATACTTGCTTCATAGCGGAAGAACTTTGGGAGTCACACACTTGTGCTTTACCATTTTGCTTCTGGCTTCCATTTTTCTCACGAGATCACTTCCCGGTGGATGCTGCTATAGATAACTCTGAAGAGAAAAAACTAGAATGGAGGGACAGGCTGTCGCGCGATGTTACACTCAAAACGCTCGTTTACGCACAGCGCTCGGGGGACAAGGACCTGACCCGGCCCGCCCCTCAAAATGCACATCAAATCAAGGTTCCGCCTAGAAACTTTCAGAAAAATGTGTTTTCAATCCAAAAATGCGTATGTAAACCTTACCTGGTCTCTAGACACGCTGTTGTTCCACTTATCAACAAATGCCAATTTCCTCATCTGGTAAATTGCCATACCACAACCAACAGTGGCTATCACATACTGCAAAAATAAGTTTTCAGACCAGACGTTTACTCCCACTGTAGAAGCATTACGATTGAAAGCATCATATCGAGAAAAAAATAGTTACATTACTGTGGCAAGGCCCTACAGAGCTCTCCAGACAAATCGGACCTCCCGGTACAAGTTGAGGAAGCGGCGGAGCTCATTCTAACCCTTCTTTCAACGTTTACTACATTGGAGACCGCTGTCGTGTACGTCTAAATTTCAGTATCCCGCGCTCCTCGCCTGTTCACGGTCAGCAAACGGACGCCAATGTGCGCGATTCAGCACATCCAAAACGAGATCAATATCGCGTTGCTTCAATAGTTAGTTCATTCGCTCGCCCTCCCTATACGAAAGTTAAAGCTTATCGTTAGCAGCTCGGTGCCAAGGGAGCACACGGAGACGCCGGGGAGAGGGGGTCGTACCAAAACCCCCATGAAGGGGGGGGGTCGTAAAAATCTCCTTGAATTACCAACGTAGGGTTGACCCGTGATCGCCAAAATGGAGAAAGAATTTCTGTGCTATAAAACCAGCGAAAAAAGAACAGATGAGAACGATTTTCCGGGTTCGACAGTTTTTTTACGAACGTTCTTAGCGTCTGGTAGAAAGCAAAAAAACTTTGGAACATCTCAGCTTTGCTCAACGCCTCACCTTTCCATTCATTGAATTTGAAAGAGGTTGTAGCCGTTCGAAAAAGTTGAAATTCGCTTGCGCACGGAAAAAGGCTTGAGCGTGCTATTTTCTAAATAATGTGAATATTCTCATTAGAATGAATGATAATGATAATACGTTCTCGATAATGGTTGGGGGCATAGGTTTTGATGTTGAACTTCGCAATTAAAATCCGACAAAATATTCTCCTGCGACCTTCCAAACAACAACTTCATCTAGAGCTCCATGGCTTGTTTGAAAGTTCACGTGACAGTGGGGGGAGGAATTGGGGCAGCCCCTATGCTCCGTCCTCGTCGTTTTATTTTTTAGTCGTTTTATTTTGTTACAGCCCTAGGCCTTGTCAGATCACCGCCACGACTTCTGCACCAATGCTCGCGCGCGCTTGCGTACCAATTGCATAATTGACGGGGAAAAGCTAAATTTTAAGCGAAATTCCCGAACATTGCATTTAAGATATGCCCGCATTGTGTATAAGCTCGGGCCTACCTCTCGCAAATTGAGGTAATTAGATTTTTTCGCTCTCCTCCAATTTTACTCATTGCTTCAGTTCGAACAAATCTATTCGATTTGTATATAGTTTGTGGAGTTACTGCACGTTAACTGCAGAAAGAAATCAAAACAGAATCATCTCTTGGTCCTGTCGGTACCCACGCCAAGCAGATGTGTCCGACTATTATTACAGACAGAAAGCGCCAAATACACCGCGCTGAATTTGCCTAAATTATTGTAGAGCACCGATCCTAAGAAAAATGCACTCTCCTATTCTCCACTTATCAGTAAAAGGGCGTTATCGTGGATAGTTCGATATTTATTGGATTAACCGGTAATTTGCGGTCAATTTTCGTTCAATTTCAAAATTTCTCCTGTCTAAGAAGCTGTTATTGCGAAATATTTGGCGAGTAATAGGAGTAGTTTCGCTTTTGAACCAGGCAGATTACGGAAGGATTTCCGCGCAGCTATTCAATTGACTGAGTGCCGAAATGGATCAGCGTCAATGCGCTCGGTTATGCTTGATGAATTTAAACTCGAGACCAGTGCGACGAGGACAGTACATGAGATCACCACTGCATTCGGTCCAGGCACTACTGCTGATCGGACGGTAAGCCGATTGGTTCGAGCGCTTCCGCGAGGGCGATGCGAGCTGCCAAGATCAACCTCACTTTGGGCGTTCAGTCATTTTTGACGAAGAAGCACTGCGCCATGAGCTGGATGTTCACCCGGGTTATACCACCAGCGAATCGGAGCAAAGCTTTGGTACGGCTAAAGCGGAATTGTTCGCCATCTCCATTTGATGGGCTATAAAGTGATGTCTCGTTGGATACGGCATGCACTCACCGACCAAGATCGAGCGGCATGCATGAGTATCTGTGAAAAAGTCTTCTGGCTATACGAAACCGAATACGTACGGACTCTTCTTAAAGGAAGTAGGTACGGAAAGGAATTTTCACATCTGCGGAGAACCTGCTCCCCACAGAGCAATTAGCAGGCCGCCAAGGAAGCGATGTGTGGCGCTTCCACTGCGAACAGTGCTGTGGTTGCTGAGCAGGACCATTGCGCCCTTCCGCCCCATGCGCCGCCCCGCCCACTGGTTTTGTTGATGATCTGGATGGACTGATTGCTGTTGGG